CCCAGTCGTGGTCACAGCAGGAACAGGCAGGCAAGGAAAACAAGGCTCCCTGGGCACTTAGAAAGTGTGCTGTGGATTAGAGCCAGGGACTGCAACCCAGACCCTGAAGAGTCAGGCAGACTGGGGCATAAGTCTCATGTGAGTGACATGGGACATGCATTAAGGGCTCTTAAGCCTTGGTTTCCTAACTGTGAATGGCAACAGTAATGGTGCCTACCTGCTGAGGCTGGGGGTGAAAGTGGAAACCAGCTCCCCAAAGTCAAGCACTGAGTGTGACACCAGCTCCAGTTCCTAGTGAGGGATGTCTGTCTGTTTCATTCTTTCTCGTTAACAATGTCCACTCTGAGAATTCTAGCCCTGAGTCAGGTGGGGAAAGAGTCCTTGGAAGGCAAAGCTTGCCCCATGTTTGCCCCCATTTTCTTGTCTCCGTTCTAGGAAACAGCACTGAAATCTGGAAGGGCAGGACTGCCTAGAAGGGGTGAAGAGGGAGGGAGATGCAGGCATTGGGTCCTTCCCACCTGAGAGAGAGAAGGGAGAGCCCGTTTGGCCACTGGAGCTGCGCTGGCAGAGGACTCTTCCCGGAGGATGGACCCCTTCGGCACAATCCCCACCTGGGAGGGGACACAGAGACCCAAAGTTAAATATCCCTCTGGGAAGCCAGCCAGTGCTGGGTGAAACCCAAGACGCAAAGCCCCTTCCACCCCTTCCGCACGCACGGGTCACACCCCGAAGCTTCCCTAATTCACCTCCTAGGACTTTGTCACACATAGACCTGACCAGGACCTTCCTCCCCTTAAAGCCTCCAGCCACCCCTCCCCCCGCCATACCTTTGGGGTAAAGCAACTTGACCCGGCTTCCAAAGCCCGAGTGGCTGGAGGGCGGATCTCTGCAACCTCAACCCCACCTTGCCCCCAGTTTCATAGCTTTGCGATTTTTTCACAGCTTTCCTCTGCCTGGGGACTCCTCAACTCTCCCCCTTTTCAAGGGCGGGGTCAGCGAGAAGGTCTGCACTTTCATAAACCGCTCACGGCTTAACCTTCTCAGAATATTCTGGCACTTCACCCCAGTCCCACACCCGGGGCAGACCGGAGCACCCTCCCCTTTTGCTTTCTCAGCAGCCATTACGGTTGCTGTCACGAAGTTGCATTTTTCACACTGCTTTTCTGTCCCTTTACTCCCAACACATCCCAGCCCCCGACTGGAAGCTTGTTGAGAGCAGGCAGTCTCGGTCCTTGTGGTAACCCTCCGGCTGGTCCTTTGTCTGGGGCATTCTGGACACTCGCAAGGGGCAGACGCCGCGCAGGGGCACTGGCTGGTGGGTGGCAGGACGGAAGCACCCGCGCGGCGCTGGGGCTGCTTTTCTAGGGCCGCGGGGGTGGGGGTGGGGGAGGCCGGCCCTGCGCCCTGCTGCACCTCCCGCCGGACCCAGCCCACCCGCTCCCGCCCCGGCTCGCGTCGCCCGCGCCCACCCGGCCAGGTGATCTCGAACCTTCTCCCTCTCACACCCCAACAACAAACAACCCTCAGCGCTCTCCCTCCGGAGAAAGGAGGTGGAGCCTGACCTCAGCCGGAGGCTGCAGCAGCTGCCTGAGGGGGGGTGGGGGGGAAAGGACTCCTAGCTCCAGTCCTTGGGGGAGTCTCCCCTCCAGGGAGCGACGGGGGGGCGACGAGGGGGGTCCCTTGGCGAGTTCCCAAGCCCCCGGGGAGCCCTCCCTCGGCAGCCTCGACCCTCCACAGGCGAAGGGAGGAGGGGCCGGAGGGGAGGTTCCAGGGAGCGCTCGCTTCCGACTCGGTCCCTCAGTCAGTAGTACCCTCGACCCCCTCCTCGCGCCCTCCATTCCTCAAACCCCGGGGCTACAGGATGGGGTGGGTCTAGGCGTGGAGTTAGCTGGAGAGGGAGGATGCAGCTCTGCTGGGCGCCTGGTAACTGAGGTGTGCCCATCCCCCACCCTCTTGACGGGGATGGGGCGCAGGGGTGTGCGCAGCACCCCAGGGACACGCCGTCTAGGGCTGGCAAGAGCCCGAAGTGGGATGTCGTCTTTGGTAGAGGCATCTTGGATAGGGGGAAGATCGGGCACCCCAAATGGAAGACCTGGGATCCCCAAAGAGGATAGGTTGGGGAGTTGGGAGGGAAGGAAGGAGAAGGCAGAATAGCTTTTCGGGGAGAGGCAGCCTGCAAACACTTTCCTTGGCCAGCAATCTGGAGGCTAGCACTGGACAGATGGGGGTTTTGGACACAGCACCATGGACATGTGTTCCCCAAAAGTCTGAGTGCACTTAGCCCCCCCTCTTCCTCTTATGCATAGACTAGATCCATATAGGCCCCCACCTCACCTTGACCTCCCCCCCAGGCTGTGGCAGTGGGTACCAGGAACGGTCCTGTCTTGTTTGCTGGGCACTGGACAGCTGACCCTCGGTGGCAGGAGGGGGCCTTGCCCTACCAGTTCAGAGCCTTGGAGAGAGCACTACTTCCTCCCCTATCCTGAAGGAAAGGGGCCCCAGCAGGTAAACACCAAACTGGCTTATGCCCTTGGATTTGCCTGGGGGGCAAATAATTTCTGGAGATCCCTTTAAGGAGGGGGTTCCGATCCCTTTAAGAGCGAGTGGGTCAGATAAAAGGACTATAAAAGTCCATCTTTACTCCCCCCACCCATTGGAGGGTGCTTGATAAGGTAATGGAAGGGGGCAAGTGCTGCAGACAAATTAACTGGTGTCCCATCCCCCAGGGAACTGTGTCCTTAAGTGTGTCCAGTGGGGCTGAGGAAGCAGCTTAATGGGTGTCTCTGGGACCCAGAGTTCAGTCCTCCAGTGGGCAGGAGCAGCTGCCCGGCTGCCAGGAAAGATGGGACAGGGCGTGGAATGGAGGAAGGGAGAAGTGGCTACTGCCACTACTGCAAAGACTGTGCTACACTGCAGGGGTACCCTGCCTGGTGCCAGGTGGCTGGAGCAGAGGGCAGGAGGTCTGCAGGGACTGCCGCGGGCATTGGGGGAGGTGCCTGGCTGCTGGAAGGGAGATGACGGAGCAGCCAGTCTGTCCCGGCTGTCAGTCTGGTTGCACTTGGTGGGGGAGGGGTGGGCCGCGTGTTTTCTCTCGGCCCTGGCTGTTTTTCTCTATGCATCTCCCTCTCTGGCTTTCCTGCTCTGAGGCAGTTAACCCTTCCTGATGGGTCTGGAGGCTGGAGAGCTGAGAGAGCACCCTGCCTGGAGGCGAGGGGTGGGGGGGGATGGTGTACGTGTGTGTGGGCGGGGTGGCCCTGGACATAATGGATTCCTACCGCTTTCCAGATTGAGCTGCAAACCCTTTTCAGTGGGGGGCCGCTGGGCTGCTGGGTGTGCTTGGATGAGGAAAGGTGATGTCCCACCCATCTGCCCAGTTGCCTTAGTGGGGTATGGTAGGGGCAGTTTTGACTCAGGGAAGGTTAGAGGAGTGGAAGGAAGGAGGAAGAGGTGGAGCCCATTCCAGTTGTGTAAAGACTCTGGGCTTGGAAGGAAGAAGGACCCCCTTACCCTAACCAGGTTGTGGATCCCTGGGGTGAAGGAGAGGACTAGCTGAAAGGTCCCTTGGGGAAGAGACAGGGTGTGCAGTCTGACCTCTTCTTTGCTGGCTTGTTGACTAGCTTTAACAAAGGGATCTGGAACAGGGGCAGATCAGTGGGCTGGCAGAGAAGGAACACCATGTGCCTTTTGCAAGTCATGTCTCCCATCAGACAGTAGCCCACTCAATTAGAGCCTCCTGGGCTAAAGGAGACAGCCACCTACGTGGGGGAGGCTCTGAGGGCAGAATTCCTCCAGCTGCCGGGCAGGCTGGGCAGGCTGGGTAGGCTGGAATGAGTTTTCATGACCACCCTATCTCCTCCACAGTCTCCACCAGGGCCCCAAATAAAGACAACTCTTTTTTACCCCATTCCAGGGCCCCTGGATCTTCAGTCCTGGATGCTGGGGGAAAGTCCAGTCCTCTGTCACCCTGCAACCCACTTCCTAGGCCAAGTGTGGGCTTCCTGCCACTCAGGTCTCCTTCTCTGTTACTAGGTACATTTCTCTTCTGACCCTTTGGCCTCAATCCCTGCCCATTAGTGGGCATGAAGCCAAGGTCAATGCAGGTTGGGCTGCTGACAGGAGCCCTGTCCCCCCTTCCGCTTTGGCTTCTGGCTACCAGGATGGCATGGCTCAGGTCCAGTGCTGTCACCCTCTACCAAGAATTTCTAATGAGGGGTGGGAGACCAAGAGTTTCTACAAAGAGGTGCCCATAGAATAGACTGGGACTAGGAGGGGGGAATTTCCTGAGGTGGGGGTAGGGCTGGCTTGCTGGTGGGGGAGGGGGGCTGCTAGACTGCTAGGAATCTTTGTCCTGGCAAGTTCAGAAAGAGAATTCCTTTAGTGTTCTACTTTTATAGGTTTGGGGACTTCGCTTTCCCTAAGGGTGAAAGGTGGAGAAGTATCGGCAGTTGTCCTAGGACAGCTTAGTCCTTTGAGAAGTTTCTATGCCAGTGTTGGCTCTTCACTCTCATACACACTTCCTCTGCTGGGTGGCCTCCTCCTTTAAACGTGTCACCCAGTACAGCTAAGATCATCTGGGCCCCTTGACAGCTCTAAAAGCAGATGGGAGAACCTTGTGGGGTTTTGGGGTATTTTTGTCTTTTTTGTTTTTTTTCCTAGTCTTATTTCCCAGCCATAAAGACTAGCAGACTTGATTGTCTTAAAGGCTGCCTGTGTTGAGTGCATGAGACTCAAAGTCTAGGAAAGGCTAGGCAGCTAGTGTGATACAGGAGTCACTCAACCACAGTCCAAGGTTGACTTTTTCCTCTCACCTAGATAGCCCCAGCACTGGGGTGCTTCTTTCAGCCTGAAGCTTCTCTTCACCCAGCCCTCTCTGGGCTGCTCCATGCGCTCTGGTGACTTGACACTACCCTCTGCTGCTGTTCCTTTCATGTCCTAAAAGCTCCCTTCCCCCGCCTGAATTGGGAATGAGGCTTTGTTCCGAGGTGGACTCAATATTTCTCAAGAACCTACTATGTGCATAGTCGATGCTTGCTGAAGCGAAGCCCTGTGCCGGCTCTGTCCATACCAGGTGCCCAAGACGCAGCCCCTTTGCGCACCTCACACGGACCTCCCACACCACCGTTTGACCTCAGCCTGCTGTGGCAACCCAGCTCGTTGACCCCGCAAGCGTGCTCGAGCTTGGAAAAGCACGACTGTGGATGTGAGGCTGACACGGAGCCACAGCATTCGGTGATTAGGCGGAAGCCAGGTGAGTGTCCACGCCTGGTCCCATCCTGGCTTGGGGACGCCAAGGAAGGAGTCCAGCCTGGGCTGTCAGGCTCTCCGCCCCTCCCCCGGAGAGCTTGATGTTCTCCGCGGTGGTGGAAGAGGGTGTGTGGGTGTCAAGGACTCACAAACCAGGCTCTGCTGTCAGCTGGAAATGGATGAGGGTTCCACACTCTGCTCCTGAGAAGGGTGAATTAGGACCTGGAGTGGGGGGACGGTAGATGAAGAGGAGAAAGAGGAAAAAGAGAGATGCGGGTGAGGGGTTACCGAGCCAGGACCGACCTTGCTTGAAAGGAAAGGAGACGTGGCAGGCAGGGAAGTCTAAAAGATGAGGCAAGGGCGGGAGGGGCTTCTCAGCAGTTGGGGCCCTTTCGCCGGAGTCTGGGGCCCTTTCTGCAGGAAAGGGGGGTTGTCCTCGCTTAAATTTCGACTGATCTTCGCGAAGGTTTGCCCTGGGGGCAACAGTGCCTGGCAAGGGCGGGGTGTTCCGCAGCTCGGTTGTCTTCAGTGGGTGCTGTGGAGACGGGGGCAGAGGGATGTTGAGGGGTGACGGCCAGGGTGGGGAGGTGATAAGATTTCTGGGGGGTGGTAGCAGCTGGGGGATCGGGGCACCAGGGTCGGGTCACCATGGGATACGGACTAAGGTTCTGGAGACGAAGAGAAAACCCAAGTAGCCGGCAAAGAAAACCAACCCCGCCACCACCCTTCGCACCGTACCCCTCCCCCCAGACCCACCACTCCCCGCACCGCCTCCCCCGGCCGCCTCGTGCTGCCCCCTGCGTTGAGACGACCGACCCACGGTTCTGATTGGTCAGAGTCCGGGAGGGGGAGCCGAGGGCCCGATTGGCTGGCGGGGCCAGCGCAGGGCGGGGCGGCTGATTGGCGGAGCTGGCCGAGGGGCACGCCGCTGATTGGCTGGGGACGAGGAAGCAGGAAGGAGGGCGGCGGAGGCTCAGCTCTCGGGGAGTTTGTGGGGGAACCGCGAGCGGCG